AGAGACAAGAGTGCTAAAATTCTTAACTACCACAATGAGATGACAAAAGATAATGCCTAACATGCTAAACTTGAGATAGTACAACATGCAGATTATTGACTTTTTAAATGTGCATGTACTCTTTACTAGAAATACATTTCACACAATATTTCGACCAAGAAATTGGAAAGAACTGAAAAATATAGTACAAAGTAAATCAATCTGTAAAGGACAGCTCAAGTAGACAATTTGTAAATAAACACATACACTCCTACCACTACACACAACCACAATTCCAACATATAAGTTCAGTTACCTACCTCACCTTTTTTGCCTATGAAATTGACAATAATATTTTTAAGCAAAAAGGCAGGATACAGGTACATCCACAGACTGCCAATGGGAATGTATCAGCAAATTTTTTTGGAGAGTAATTTGACACTATCTCTCACAGTGTAATATTTGGCTTAAACTTAAAAGTATACATAATTTTCTACTCCAAAATTCCATGTATAGGAATTTTTCCTAAGGAAATAACTAATAATTTACACGTCTCAAGGGTGCTCTTTGAAGTACTAGTTAAAATATTGAGAGGTTGGAAATAACAGAAATCCCCCCCAAAAGAAAGTAGTTAAATAAGTGAATGCAGCCATTAAAAACAGTGTTTTGAAGTGGGGGAAGTAGGTAGCAAATCAATAAGATAGAAGAAAAAGACTTGAAGAGGAAAGGACAGGAATACAAGTATAAAGATAAGCAAGTGCAAATCTTGTATGGGAAATGGCAAATAATTTATTTCAGCCACAACACTATTTGAGGAGAAACAGTGGACAATAGGAAATCCCTAGGATATGGGTGTTCCAGATGCCTCACTCAACTTGTTCACCTGGACAGTATTGTAAAGTCGGTAAGAACATAAGCTTTGGGGCCAAAAGATATAGGATCCAATACCCAAACTCAGTGCCTATCTATAAAACCTAAATAATATTACCTTTCCTTAATACTATTATAAAAATGGAATAAAATGATGTATGTAAAGCACTGTGCACAATGCTTCTATCATAGTGCTAATAAACAGCAGTTTTTGTTATATTAAACTACCATGCAAAAAAATCAATTTTCAAAGAACTGTGCAAGTAGAAAGGTACTGTTTTTAAAGATTTGCATGGTATTTATTTCTAAGTAAATGTCTTAATTAAGTACATGAATAAGCGTGTACTATGTGGGTTTCTTCACCAGTGCAGTAGGACAGTTCAGCAGTATCTGTAATTGAGAACATAATCATATACTGCCTCTTACTGTTTCAGAGAAGAATTGATTGTTCTGTGAAGATGTAACCTAAAATTATTTATTTTATTTATTTTATATTTTATTTTATTTTATTTTGTCAATATGCAATGTGGTTGATCATTGTGGCCAATTACCTAAAATTATTTAAAGAACAGAATTTATGTTTCCATTTCATGCATGTCTTTAGCAGTCTTCACAGCTTAAAAAAATGCTTTTGCTCTGCTAATTTTAGCTGTGAGAGTGGCAGTGTAGGTGTTGACTGTCCTGCTTTATTGGTCAAGAAACATGCCCAGATCTACGAACAATGAGGAAACTAGACCTCATCTTTTAGTTTAGATCCAGTGCTCTCAATTTATACCTATTTCCTCTTTTCCCATTAATGTTATGTATAACTAAACATTTTCACTTAGTTCATTTTCTAGTTCCAACGAACAAGAGTGGCAATAGAACCACTACATATAAACTATCTAAATAAAGCTATTTGAGAGAAAAATGATGATGGAGAAATAATTACATAAATGAAAAGACCTATACTTTTACTTTTAATGCTATTTTAAAAAATGTATCACACTACATTTATATGAAACATTTAATGAGTATTATATACTGTAAGTAATAAAATTCAGTAAGTCAGTATTATATAAATGAGGTTCATAATATTTAAATAAACAGCAAGTTAGCAAGAATAGCAAGGAAGACAATGCTTTTATATTAACATTATTAGTATGTTAATAAAAGAAAAACTTTCATCAGTATGCATTTTAACAAAGAATCAGCTAAGGCTCAGAAGTTACTTCCAGTTTTTACACTTCAGAATGCCTGGTTTGATCATCACTACTGCTGGTATCATTTTCAAATGTCATTTACTCAACACTTGTTATTTGCCAACATTCAGTATTAACTTTCTAGAAATATGGTAAATTGAAATTTTCTGTATTAATTAAACTTCAGAAATACAAGAATGTATCCGAAGCTGTTATCACTAGAGAAAAATAGATTCTATTTGATTCTATAAAGGGGTTAGCAGCTATCTTCACTAAACAAAATAACTAAACAAACAGAAATGCTTTCATCTCCAGAGAGATTAAAACAAGAACAGGATTCAAATAAAAATATTTGTTCTTTTTTTGAGCAGGGTTACTAAATATAAGACAACATTCTAAGTAAAGTAATAGTAGATTCTATTCCTAAGGTTACCTTTGAAATTTTCTTCTTGAAGGTGGGAACATGAATTGGATACAAGGTTGCTTCAGATCCTTTAATTTCCTAACTTTCATTACTCCAAAGAAAAAGGAAACTCTACTATGTACAAGATACTTTAGTGGGATTAAACTGAACACATTTAAAGTGTATCAGTATTATCTAATAAAAATAATTTTCAGTGTGAGACCTGCCACTAGGGGGCGTCTATTTTGATTAATACACTCAATTGAAGATTGACCAAAAGAGCTTCAGGTTAAAATGTCACCCACTTTATTCCAAAATTTTATGAAATTGTATATTTAAATCGCTGTCTTTTAAAAACAATTTTATAATAATGCTACAGAATATTATCTCTATAAGTGAAATAAAATGACCATCACTTAAGGGGTCAAGGTTAAATAGATCTGAATAGCATTTTCAGCTCAAACAAAATATATTTTTCCCAATGTTGGCATGTTTCTAGGCCCCAATAGGCATAAACTGGTAGTTTAATTAAATAACATATTAAATTTAATATTAGATTTAATTGCCTCCTTTCTAAAATGAACTTTGACTAACTGCATTATTAAGTTAACTGTTTTTCATTCAGGTAAAAATACCTTATATAAACACTTTTACTTGATAATGTAAATGCTAGCACTTTCTCCTTTTGGAGCAAGACGGTTACATTTAAGTAATTTGTAGGATTAGAAGCAATGCATGGTGCTCAATAAAGATCTGATAAACATCTATGACAACTAAGATAAAATGTGGATGAATGAGGAAAATACTTTATATTACAAGAAATCATTAAAAACAATATATTAAAGTCTAAGGAAGTGTATTAAAATATTACAAAAATATAACAGGCACATCTTACAAAAACAAATGGAAAATGTAATATGTTAAAAGGGAAGACCTTTCATAAAATAGTGAGTGGAAACCAAAATGTTAAACTTTACAATGAACACAAAAGTAAGGCATTTAATTTTGTTTACAAAGCCTTCTAGGTCCTTTCATAACAAACTAACAACTCATTATCTTAAAAACCCATCAGGGAGATCTTCAAGTTTTCTGACCACACATGTAAAACCGATGATACCCCGTTATGCTAAGTGTATTACAATCTTGTATTAATAAACACATAGAACAGACATTTGGGATACCTCCCCATTTTAACCAGCAAGAACAAAATCAAATTAGACAAAGGGTTTTAATATAAGATACCATCCTATAAAATGAAAAGTATTATAAATCAATGTCTCAGAACTACTGAGACAGAAAATTGCTGACTCGACAATATTCCTGTCAAACATGCTGTACCGTAAAACTTCCAAATTTTAATCAGATACTATTTATAGATGAATATCCTCTGTTAATGCCAATTCAGAAGTCTAGATCTGAAAAACAACGATAATTGAAATTCTTAAAGAAAATTAAAACTCCAGAATAATGAAACTTTTAAACCAACAACTAATTTTAAACATAAATCGCAAGCTGTTATTTTTCTGGTTCGCATTAATCAAGGTTAAGTTTTAAGCAAAATGCACGTGATATGCTCTGAGTAGACGTTTAGGCGTTCTTAAAATTGTTTATGAAAATTTGAAAACTATAGATAGATGATATAATTAAGAGATAATAATTAGAAATAAACACATGAATACACCCACTTTACAAAAGGAAATCTGTCTCAAGCACAGATTTCTTTTTCTTAAAAAAATTACTTTAATGTATTTGCCATCTCACACAAATATCCCACCAAAACAAACAACATCCCTCCCAAATCAAAGTTTGTAATCTATTCGAATTAACAAAACTTTGAAGTAGGGGGAAAAAGGGAATTAGAGGTAGATGCTAAGAATGAAAACTTCTCTCTCAATAAACCCAGTTGTAAGCACCCCAAAAATGATAAGGTTCCCCCAAAAGGTGGCTAAGAATACACAGCCTCTACCGCATCCTGTCCACTGCATCCACTCCTAGCTGCTAACATCTCTACCCACTTTACCAATAGGGTCACGTCAAGAGCTACAAAATTACTGCCCAATAAGTAAATAAGGCGCAACAAAAAGTCAGTTGCTAAGGACCAAAAAATACCTTTAGAGACACTTAGCCCCTTCCTTCCAGACGGCACGTGTTTCCCTCTTTAAAAATCTCGCCCTACCAAGCTCTCTACCAAGAATGACAATTAAGACTGTCCTCTAACCTAACCCATGCGGATAATAAAAGTGGAAGGGGATTTCAAGACAGGATTATGCTAACTAATCCACTAGCACCACAAAGCACATCAGCGCTGTCAACAAATTAGGACCAAAGAGAGAACAGAGTTGCAAAACGTGAGAGGGTGCGGGTGCGCTGGTGACGGCGGACAATTTTTAAAATGCAATAATTGAAAATGGGAAAATCTAAGTCCTCGGTCTCTCGACCGGCCTCCAAATGTCGATTCCATAGGCTGTGTCGGGAACTGACCTAATACCCTGGATCGCGGGGATTTGGGGGGCGGGGTGGGGCCGCCTCCCGCACCCGCGCGCCCAGGACGCGCTCCGGACACTCACGTTTTCTGCACCGGCTTCCGCCGCTTGCGACTGGCGTAGGTGATGCTGGCGCTGCTGCTATTCATGGTGCCCAGCCGGCGGCGGCGGCTCCTCCCCGGTCGCGGGCGGCCCGGTCCCCGGGACCCAGTGGCGACCGGGACGAGGGCGGCTACGGGCGCCGGGTTCCACGAAGCCGCGCCCACTCCACCTGCGTCGTCCTCTGGCTATGGCTAGGACGCCGCGCCCCCAGCCC